TAATACACATTTGTTACATTTTCAAGCAAGAACCTTTACATTTTCTTCCATGTTGTCTCTCATACTTGGAAACATTTCTCTGTAAAGATCTCCACTGCTACACTCTCTCCTTAAACACTCTTTTACCATGACACTGATAAAAAAAGCCTAAACATCTTGACTTCTATTGCCATATTGTCACTTCGGTGGACACATGGCATGATTACTATAGAGTTAACTAACTTTCCAGCAAAAGTGGTATGGCTACACAATGCACAGTCATCCTATGGAGTAAGTACTTATTATATGGTACAATTACCTTGAAAAAAACAAACAAATGTGTAGTAAATTTATCTCAGTGTATCACAGATGAGGCGTTGGGTGTAACCTATCCTAGTCAATTTCGCCAATTTCAGTAGGCTTTTTTTTGTTGTAAATAGGCACTGGATACCCTAAGCAAAGGAGTATTTGAACTTCCACTCCTCTCAGAAGCTCAGTTGCCTGGCTCATGAAGGGGTGAAAATTACATGCTTTCACCTCAAGAGGCAGTCCCTGCCCTCTTCCAAGGGCAGAAATTTAACTGACATTATAGTGATGGTGCCCATCTTTTGCATAATGGTTGGGTGGTTAGAATACTTACTGAGGAAGTGAACGATGTGGATTCAAGGCATCTTCAGCCTTAGGAGTTTCAAATGCAAGTTTCCATCTCCTGCAAGAGTGCCCAGCTAAGAAGTTACAGAATAAGCAGGAGGGTACATGACCTGGGTGAAGCTGGGCAACTAAGACTGAAAGACTCATGGGGCCATAAAGAAGAAAGAGGAAGAGGGCCATAAATCTGTAGTCCAGTGTGGTAGGGCAGTGCCCTGGGTTCTAGCCTTAGATTCCAAACCTGTTTATGCCACCCAGGGAAAATGTTAAAACAACTAGACTATTTTGCAGAAGTGGGCACCACTCAGACCCCATTATCTTCTAGTCATATTTTTGAGTGAATATCATTTTGCCTGCTTTGCTTTTACAGGCCCCATCCCATGCTATACTTGGGCGGGGGTGGGGAGGGGAGGAAGTTAGTAGCTTTTATGAATTCAGTGCTTGAACAAGAATAGTTCCCTCTCTGAAAAACTATATAATTGAAAATTATAAACACATCCTGGGATGTGTGTTTGTTTATTCTTCCTACTGCTCCCAAAGTCTCTGGGATTTGCAGTTGCAACCAGCATTAAGTTTTTAGCAGGGCAGGGCAGCCCCATATTCAGGGGAAGGTAAATTTAACCCCCTCCCTGGCCCCAGACTCCAGCTGGGGTTTGCCTGGTGGGGAGCGGGGTGGCAGTGAGCCAGCCAGTGAGACCAGTGAACCCACCCTCACTGCTCCAGCCGGAAAGCAGAGGGGCAGGGCCAGCCCTGCTCTCTGGAGCAGACAGCATAGTCCAGTCCAGGGTTGGAAAGCATGCTGGGATGCTAGGGCATGGGCGACTGGTGCCACCTTAGTCAGGGGGCACATGATCCTCCAGTGACCAGTCAGTGACAAGGGGGCTCCCCCTGTGGCCAAACTCACCGACTGGGGGTGGGGGGAAAGGTCCTCTGCAGCTGATCGTGCTGACTGGGAAGCAGCTGCAGTGCTCCCAGAAGTCGCTGCGGTGCTTCATCCCACACTCCCATTCCCTGGCCAATGCTCACAGGGGATCACCAGTGCTCCTGTCTGCCTCCACCCGCCCATCGCCTAAGTGGGGAGTACGGACTGTCAGGGACTGCACCAGAGCTCTTAGGGGGTGCATGTGCACCCCTGTGCACCCTCTACATGTTGCCACTGTGCTGGGGGACTCTGATTTCAGCTTGATCCAGGAAGGGGACTGGGACAGAAGTTTCATAAACTGGTTTGACCCAAATCAGTTAAGTCCAATACTACATTCAACCAGGTTCATTTTAAATCAGTTTAAGCCATTTTGAAGTTTCTGATTACTTAAACCAGTTTATGTGCAACGTCTGTCCCTAGCCTTACTGCGCAGTTGCGCCAATGCATGGTTTTTTACTTTCTGTGCAGTAGCTTAACACTACTGTGCAGTATTGTAGTAGCATGGTTTTTGCCAAGCATGCTATTGCACAGTATTAGGCTGCTGCTCATTAAGCGTCCTGCTTAGACATGTTTAGTGGGAAGCAAATTTCCAATAAGCCACAGAATTAAACTCCTGTTTTTAACACCAAAGTGACATGAGATTTGACTTTTCATTTGTGACTTCCTTTTTTCCTCTTCAAAAGGTTTATTCATCCAGGATTGAAATACTTATGTTCTTGGCCTCAGATAGGAGAATATTTTGAGGGAAATTGGGAGATTCAGTTGAGGGGTAGGAGCAGGGAAGATACATTTCCTTAGTATGTGGATCAAGTTAAAAATATTTGAAGTGCCTGGAAGCTCTTCAGAGATTTGGGGGACTTAAGTATGTCCAATGTCATTTGGATTAGTGGGCAGAGGGCAAGTTGAGCATGCTTAATAAACAAATTAATCACAACTTATCATCACACAGCATATCACAACATATCACCTTCAAGTATCTGACAGTGCATCTATGTTAACATATACCTTCTTTGAAAGATATGTACAACCAGTTACTTAAAGCACATAATTTACATGACTTCTAAACTTATGTGAAGAACTAGTGTTAGACACTTATGCCCTAAAAAGGGCTACATTAACATGTCTTAGTTGCTTCTAGTTTGAAAGTGAGCATGAACAGAGCAAGCAGCTGGTTCTGCATGATGCCTCACAGTCATACCTGGATAGCAGCTGTGTCTACACTACTCAGTTACAATGAAAAGCAGTGCCATGCAAAGATGTTGCATGTTTGCTAACTCCCGAACCAGAAGCAGTATAGCTGTGTTGATGTAGGGCCACATATGAGCTAATTAGTATCACTGAGAAGCAGAGTTTAGAGACTGTGCAGGGCTGAGTTAACATGGCTAAGCTGCTTCCACATCAGGAGTGAGGGCATAGCAACTCAGAGTGCACTTCGAGTATCTTGTATTTTGAGCATTTGCATAGGTCACATAACACACATGACTTTAGATGTGTGCTTCCTACCTTTGCTGTTTAATAGAACATGGAAGCAGAAGATGTAAATAGCCTTGTGATGGTATTCAGTAGGGGTGTGCGAAGTGGGCCATATTTGATTCGAATTTGGCCTGAATTGGGGACAGTGATTTGATTCATTGATTTGGATCGTTGTCCTCAATACGATTCAGCTGAATCCGAATCTGAGTATTCGATGCTATTCTGAGAATTAGCAATTCAGCCATAGACACAGCTTTAAATGTTTTTTCTATATACCTTGAGGTACCAGCATGGCTTGTGAATGCTGCAATGCTGGGTCAGATGGAGCATTGCACAGGAGCATGGGGGGCCCCCTCCACGTGCTCAGTTGTGAACCCTTCCAGTCCACTTCTGGGACCACTAGGGAGCCACAGTGGGGGACCCCTGTGCCCTCCCCTGACTTGGTGATTGGCCATGGGGGACCCTGGGTGCCCCCCCAGACCCAGGAGGCACCAGTTGCTGAGCCGGAGGGGGCACAGAGCCCCTCCCCCTGCATGCTCCCTGGCAGATCCGGAAGTGGACCAGAATTGCTTCTGGTCCATTTCTGGGTCCGCTGCCAAGTGTGCTGGGGAGCCCCTGATGCTCCTGTGCCCCAGCATAGCAGTATTCATGAGCCTTCTGCTACCTAGAGGTATGTAGAAAAATCATTTAAAGCTGTGTCTATGTTCAAATCTCTGAATCTTTCCCAATGTCTCTGAATTGATTCGGGGGGTTCCGGTTCGATTCAGAGAAACTAAAGGGTCTCCTGATTTGATTCAGATTTGGAGATTTGGCTACTGAATCAGGCCAAATCTTCACCGAATCGAATCAGTGACTGAAGCTTCACACAGCCCTAGTATTCAATATCTGTGGTGTTGATCAGTGAATTATATTTGAATATAGACTAAGCAGTTAAGATGTAGACTGAAAAGTCACAACACTGTGCGAGATTGACTAGATAGACCATGTCTATTGAATACCTTGGTGCTTGAAAACACCTGCACATTCATACTTTCTAATTTGTTAATTTAGTCTTTTTCAGTCTTGAAACTTAAAGCATCACGAATATCAGGCAGGAAGGAAATCAAATTCACAAGGAATTGAAGTAAACATCTTCTTATAATTTAAAAAGCACACATGAACTCTAAAGAAACATTTTCGAATACAAGGCCAGTGCACAATACTCTGATTTTGCATCTATTTTAAGCAAAGCTAGGGATATAAATTAAAAAAAAATACTGCTAAAAAGACTTTTATGGTTATTTATCTAGGTTCTAACCCACCTGAAATGATTTTATCCCCAGGCTTGCCTCAGGCCAAAACAATGTGAAGTGAGCTAAAGATGACCATAACCCCACATTCCTACAGTAAGTTCTATTTATAAAACATATATCATAAACATATATTACAAAAATATTACCACCAGGAAAAATCAATGAAATAAAATCTAAAAAATAAAAAACTGTGCATTATAAAAAGAGACTGCCACAATATGAGAGGAAACCCACAGTTTAACATATACATAATATACATCACATAAAAGCTATTAATCCAATTTAACAACATTCAATGCATTTATGCTAAGAAACTACTAAAAAGCACTAAATGGAATTTACAGAGATGAATAAAAAGCACAATTACCAACTAGAGTTGGGAGATTCCAGTTGGTAAATGAGACTGTGAAATTGCCTTGTGTTAAAAGAGTATTAATGGCTATGCTAGCACTTGACTAATATTTTATGGTGTAGACTGTTACTAAATTAAAGCCTTTGCATGTCTTCCTGTAGAGTCATTTAGTTATACTTAGAATACTTATTTTCTTTTAAACACAGTTAACAGTTTGCTGCTGCATTAAAAATTCCTGATTGCTTTTTTCAAAGCTGGGACTGTGCAGATGCTATTTCCTTCTCTTATTGTTTACTTCAAATCAGGGTGGTAGTAAAATAACTCTGATTGTGAACTTCCACTTTACAGGTGCTGGCAAATAGCATCCTTTGGCAGGTAGCATTAAGTGTTGATGGACCCAAAGGAAAACACATGGAGGTATGCCATATTATATAACATGATTATGTGTTATAGCGTGCTAGCTATATAAGAAGGAGTAGTGTAAACGATGGATCGAATTCTAGCTTGATGAACTGTAGGGCATAACATTTCCTCCCCGATTCTGGCTTCCATCCAAGGCTGAAACCATTGAGATCCCTCTCCACAGGTGGCATGCCTGCTACATACTCAGTAATAACCATTACTCAACTATCCTCAGATGAGTACACTTTTCTGAAGGCATACATAAAATGATGATATCATCAACAATCTCTAACATGGTCATAAATTAATATTCCATTAACACTTTTATTTATAAAGCAATTAGCCATATAGGAACCACTATGTTCGTATCAATGGAAAAGTACCGATATTTTTATGTGGTGATACCTCAAGCCTAGTAGCAGAATCATCTTTGAATTATCACACAGCAGCATTATTAATTTTTTTAGGGCAGATGTGCAAATCTGACCTGAACTATGAAAAAAATCTTCCTGTACACAAAATTACACTGTTTCTAAAACTACTGTGAAATTCAGGCACTAAAAATGAAGTCATATATAGGAATTCTTTCAATTTCTGAGTAAAATTTTTAAAAATTAGCTGTAAGTTATATTTTAAAGCTTATCAATATTTTTCTAATGACAATGTTAAGAAACTTTTACGTTAATGTATCTTTAATTATTTTTTCAATTAAAATTACTATTTAATTAAGACACGATATCTTAGGAGCTTATGCCCAAGGGCAGATCCATGGGCGATGTAGTGGTGCAGCTGCACCTTCCACTTTGATTCCTCTTTACCCAAAGTTTAAAATCAACTGCCTAGAAGCAGCAGCAGCATTTCTATTCAGGCAAAAATTGACTTCATATCTCATTAAAATCTACCTGATTCTTTCTAAACACTTGATTCCACAGGTGTTAATGACCCTCTTTCCTTTTTAATGGTCTTGATGTTCTACGAATCAAGTTATCCTTTCTTCAGCAATTCTGGTATTTGTTAGCTGATCTTGGTAATGTAGCTCCTACATAACCAGATGGCAGACTTTTAACTTTAGCTAAAAAAAAATAACTCAGTTAAACTTAGGCGTGGAAATAACTTTTAGTAAAGCATTTGATGCATTGCCAACATGCTCAAGAAGGCTAGATTTTGTTTTATGAATCTGAAAAAGATGTACATTTAACTCTAATTACTACAGGGCTAATGAAACAATATCTTTTCATTATTTTTGCCTAGTTTATTGTGTTTTTATACATAACAGCAAGTTAAAGCACATTGCAACAAAATTGTATTTGTTTCTGCATTGATTTTAAACTGTTATATAGCCCTAAGCCCCCAGAATATTAGTAATGAATCTCATTTCTTTTTAACTGTGGAAAACTGTATGATGTGTTATATGGGTTGATGCACCACACCATCTGCACCCCCTTTTTCAAAATCCTGGATTGGCCCATGCTTATACCACTTTTCAGCTAAAACGTAAGATGTTGATTAAGCCATGATTCTGCAGTATGGTATTCACTGGCAGATTGCACTGAGGAAAAATGTAGGATCATAAGAAAGTAGGACTAGAAGGGACCTCACAAGGTCATCTAGTCCAGCCCCCTGCTCAAGGCAGGATCATCCCTGACTAAACTATCCCAGAAAAGTGACTGTGTAACCTGCCCTTGAAAACTTCCAGCTATGAAGGATCCACAGTTTCTCTAGGTAGCCTGTTCAGATGCTTGACCACCCTCAGAGTCAGAAAGTTCCTCCTAATCTCCAACCTAAATTTCCCCTGCTGAAACTTGAGGACATAGCTCTTGGTCCTGTCCCCTATGGCCAGAGACAAAAACCCATTTCCATCTTTTCTGGAATTGTCCTTCAGGTATTTGAAGACTGTTAACAAATCTCCCCTGCCCCCCTGCCCTACACCATCCTTAGTCTTCTCTCCTCCAGAGCCTAGTTCTTTCAGTCTTTCCTCATCTGTCTTGCCTCCCAGGCCCCTAAATATTTCTGTTGCTCTGCACTGTACTCTTTCCAAATTGTCCATGTCTTTCTTGAAATGTAGGGCCCAAAAGCAGACACAGTACTCCAGGTGAGATTTCACCAGTGCTGAACAGAATGGAAGAATCACTTCCTTTGATTTGCAAGTAACACTCCTGCTAATACAATCCTGCATGCTGATGGCCTTTTTTTGCAACCCTGCAATCACACTGTTGGCTTATATTTGGCTTATCATCTACTGTAACCACCAGGTCCTTTTCTGAAGTACTGCAGCTTAACTAGTTATTTCCTCTCTGTATTTTTGCATGCAATTATTCTGTTTCAAGTGCAGGACTTTACATTTGTCCTTGCTGAATCTCATCTGATTGACTGTGAACCATTTCTCTGGTCTATCTAGGTCATGCTCAATTGTAGCTCTATCCTCTAGAGTGTCTATAAGTCCACCTAACTTGGTGTTGTCTACAAATTTATTAAGCATGCACCCAATCCTCTTGTCCAAATCATTAAAAAAATACCAGACCCAGGACAGACACTTAAGGAACCACACTTTATGCTGCCTCCCAATTAGATGTTGAGCCATTGATAACTGCTTGTTGAGCACAATGATTGATGTCACAATACTTTCAGCTATTCTGTATTTCCTTAGCTTGTGATTAATGAGAGTATTGTGGGAGAGAATGTCAAAAGCCTTGCTGAGTCAAGGTATATCACACCTCTCCCCATCCACAGAGCCTGTCACCTTATACAAGGAAATCAGGTTGGTCAGACATGACTTGCTCTTGGTGAATCCATGCTGGCTGTTCCTGATCACCTTGGTATCCTTTAGATGCTTCACTATAGATTCCTTTAATTGTGGCCAAAGGTTAAATTCTTAGTATGGCTACACAGAGGTGCAGCAGTCAAATTTACAAAATTGAAAACTGTTTGAACGAAGAGTCTCTTCTCAAATAATTCTGCAAAGTGAATAAACATTTTTGGATAATTTGTTATGGTATTTAAAGACACTTTTTAGACCATAGAAAGGCACACAGAAAATAAAAAAGAAAATTCATTTGAATGTTATATGAGCCACGTGATAGTCTCTGAATGGGACTTGAAGAAAAAGGAAAATCCGCCATAATGCACTGAGTTGTTATTGCTAACAGAAGCATAGCTATTCTACAGCATTGGTCTCAAATGGGGAAACACGGCAGGAGGTTGACAAAGTGATCCTTTTGCATGCTGGGGAAATGATCCCTGATGAATGCCCAAATTCAGTTTGAAACATCAAAAGTGCCAATACTTGGAGCATTTGAAGCATCAATTACAAATATATTACAAGACCATATATGCTCAAAGATGCTGTTACGTGAAGCATATCCTCTCTATAGCCCAGAGGAGAGGAATTAAATTGTGCAATACTAGTTAGAAACAGAATGAACACCCAAATCCTTACTACTGAAAAGGTTACAAAAAAAAAAAAAAAAAAAAAAAAAAAAAAAAAAAAAAAAAAAAAAAAAGAACCAGGGAATGAAAAATAGGCTTTGACTTTTCACAGGCTTTGCCTACACTCAAGCATAAATGCTATTCAGCTATTGGTAACAAGCAGTAGATATACTTCCAATTAATTGCACATGTAGACAATAGACTGGCGAACATCACACCCAAGTTTATTGCTCCTGGGTACCACATTTGAATGTGTGCCCGGGACTGCAGCACACTGAGTTGGGTCTGAGCGGAGGCCCAGGGGTCAACCTGCCAGCTCAGAGCTGCTCTGACCTGGCTGGGGCATGAGGTGCTCCAGCATAGGGCTAGGTGGCAGGCAGTCCCCTGCACTGAAGCACCCTTGTGCCCCAGCCAGCCTCATCAGCGTCTACACATGCATTGCTGAGCATTAAAACTCTGCCATATATTTACAAGTACTAACCTGCAGTGGAGTTTGTTAGTTTACTGCAGCCTAGTAGGGCCACACATGTAGATGCTGAGACATTTACTGCGGAGCTAATTAGTCAACTCAATGTCTCATGTAGCTGCACCCAGTGTACTGATTCCTGAGCTATAGAAAACTGCAAACTAGATTCAGAACTAATTGCATTTCAGTACTGATTCCTAGCATGTAGAAGAAAGCAAGATAGATTTTTAACTGTGTTTATATGAACTTGGATAATTAACTAAGATCTATACTATAGGTGGGGTATAGACTTACACTTCCCATTATTAAAATTTCTTGAAATTACTTGAAATTCAGCAGGAGGAATGACTCCTTAGCAAGAGAAGTGCTGAAATAAAAATAGCTAATAATTGTCATTGCTGCTTTTCTCCAGAAAATTATGCCAGCCTGCCAAAATCGCAGAATATGAACATTATAAAGAGCTGGGTCCTGCCACAGAAGCCAAAGCAACAGCAGCTGCACTGGGAGTGAAAGGGAGCTGCCAGATGAGCTGTACTGATGAGGAGAAAGTTAAGGAGGTAAAAGAGCTGATCTCTTCTGAACTTAGACACAGAACCTTGTCCTTTAGTCTTTCCTTCCCTTTCCCTAGGTCAGTGCTTCTCAACTTTATTAGACTTGAGGTACCCCTTGATAGATACAAAGCATTCCTCTGAAAATGCCAGCTCCTAGCTCTCACATTTTTTCTCTACAGAAAAACAGAGCAATTCTTCTGTAGCAAATAACTAGAAAGACCACAACAGGTCAGAAAAACACTATGGATTCCTATTTGAAATTTCTGGGTTTATCTTGTAAATCATGTTTCCACACCTAATAGTGTGTGGCACCCCACAACACCCTGGAAAGGCTATCAAGGCACACCAGTGTGTTGTGGCACCCTGACTGGGAATCATTGCCTTAGGTACCTTTCTTCAACTATGTCAACCAAGTGCCACCTAAATGTAGTCCAATAACACCATGAGTAAGCTATTTGTATTGCAGTGCTGCAGGCTCAGTTCTCCCAAACCTTCTTGTTGATACATGAGCAGGGTTAGCATCTGCATATAACACAGATTGTTGTATGCATTTTTTGTAAAGTAAAAACAAGTTATGTTTAAATTAATTTGAACAGACGTGTGTTTAAAATCAAATAGAAGTAAGGAAACAAGAAATGTAATGGAAGTCCTTGCTACCTTCACTAAGCTCCTCAGTACAGTTGCATTAAGAGAGTCTACATTATGGCAATGGACAGACATTTGGGGAGGTAGGGGGATGTTAGATCACATTACAAATGGACACCTAGTCTAACTTTGTTCACACAGGAGTGAACTGTATGCTTAGATCTGTAGTTAGGTTGATCTAAGCATGAACTGTACAGAAGCTCCAGGAAGGTTAGATCAGTTTAAAAATGCCTGAATCAATCTAAGTTAACCCTGCTTCTGAGGCAGTCTAACTTAGATTGGTTTGGCCATTTTTAGATTGATTTAACTGTCCCAAACTTTTGTACAGTTCCCAGAACAGTCCCAGGGCTGGAAAAACCTAGCTTCTGGCCCCTGCCCCGGGGCTGCCCTTTTAATAGCCCCCACCTAGCACTGGGCTATTTTTAGTCCTTCTCCCTTTGCTCCACCCCGATGAACAACTCTCCACCCTCTGCTGATCAGCTAGCCCCTCTCAGCCCCCAAGTCTGCCAAACCCTCTATCCTGCAAACCACTCCTGTTGCTGCTTTTATCAGCATTGATGCTTGGAGCTGAGGAGGTAAGTCAGGGTAGGAAGAAGGGCAGGTGGGATGGGGGGGTTGATTTGCCAGGTGGGGTTGTTTTTCTTGGAGGTGTGGGGGGAGGGTCAGGGGCTAAAAATAGACCCTGGTCCCTCCGCACCCCCCTGCAGACCCTGTGAGCCCCCTGATACGGCCAAACCCTACCAGACCCCACTCACCCTCCAGCAGACTCCACCTGTTCTCCCAATCCCTCCTACAGACTCTGCCCCATGGACTTTGCTTCCCTCCCACCCCAATTCTCCTGCTTGCCCTTCCAACCCCATCAAGACCCCCCACTAGCCCTACCCATCCTGACTTACCTTAGATCAGATGGCTATTTTTAACTCTATCTAACCTCCCCAAATGTCTCTATGCAGCCAATAAGATTACATACTATTTTTCCAGAAGACCATTGCCCTATTTTGACCTACAACAAATCAAAATTAAGTTGCATGGGCAACCAGAAATCTAGCATTTCCTAATTTTCCTGTGCTTGACTTTACAAACTAAATAATGGTCTGTTAAGACAGGGTTGTACTCAATAAGTGTTTGGCAGATCCAGTGGGGGTGCAGTGGTGTGGCTGCATCTCACCTCCTGACGTCACAACAGGAGCAGCAGCTGGGTGTGTAAGTCCCTAAAGAAGATTAGACTTTCCCCTTCCCACTTCCCTTCCATGCTTAGAGCCTTATTCCATCCTTCCCCCTTACCCATCCATTCTCCCCTCCCCACCTGCCACTGCCCCCGGGGTGAGGGAAGCTCCTATTCCACTACAGCCAGGCTGCAGGGGGGCTGTGCTCATTCTGGGACAGTGGCAGTGGGCTGGCTGGTTCTCTTTCCCTGCTTGCCCCCCCAGGTGTTCCCCACCAGCCATGGAGCAGGTGTGGGCAGGGGGAACACACTCACCTGCAGTTGCTGCTGTCCTGGGCTAAGCCTAGCTCCTGTGCAGCCTGGCTGGAGTAGCCCTGCCCTGGAACTCCCCTCACCTTCAGTACCACAGGGACAGCAGTGGTGGCTGGTTATGGATGGGGGGTGGGGGGGGGAGAAGGGAAACAGGACTCTGAGCAGGGTGGGGAAGGAATTCTTATCTGCTTTGGGGACTTAAAAATGTTCCCAATTGCTGCTCCCATGGTGTGGTCTGCCCAACCCAGAGGGAGAAGGGGGAGGCTGGGAACAGGGAGTGCAGCTAGCCCCATGCCTCCTTTTGCAAAATCCAGGATCCACTTCTGAATAGATATTTGTAAATTCAGTATGTATTTCTACAGGCCACTCATAGTGCCTCATAAAGATAGCAGGAGACTATTCTTATTGTTCATGTTATTAGGACATTGTATTAAATATGTTAATATGCATTCATAATCATGATGTATAATTAAAGCATGAACGTGTAAAAATTAGACACACTGGACTGTCACCTCGCTGGGGTAACTTGATCCCAGTTGTCTTCCTGCCTAGAGTGGCGGGGCTGGACCCAGTGATTTGCAAGATCCTTTCCAGCCCCTAACAATCTATGAATCTATGAATAGATCCATAAAAGATGTTTAAAACTCCAATCTAATTGTGTAGACCTTACTCAGGCTAAATTCCCATTGATATTTCCCATTGACCTTATTGAGGATAAGAGAGCCATTAATCCATAACTACACATTTCTAGTGTGACTTCTAGGAGTAAAATAGGATTTGGGCATTATATAGAACTTTAGCTGGCAAGATCCCCCACTATTTTTCATATTATATTTCATATCTATTTAGTGGTAGCTATGTAGCATTTTGCCCATCACTAAAATCCAGTTGCCTATAGGGAAAACATGCAGTAAAAATATGACACAACAAATTAAGTAAGGCAAAACTGATATTAGGTCAAGACCTGCATGTATTTGTAGAGAGAGAAGTGCCTGGTTATTTTTCACTTTTACTTTTGTGAAAAATAAGATGGGAACTTTAAGGAGCAAAAGTACCAGGGCCTTTTTTATGTTATCCTAAACATGGCAGCCTCAATAGCACTATGTTCCCCATACTGTCATAAGAGGGTACTGATCTAATGCTACTCACTACTATTATTATTAGTACATGCGAAATATGGGTTTCCCTCAAGGTTCTTTCATCCAGATGTTGGTCAGGATGGATGTTGCCTTGATAAGATCTGACAAGATATCAGCCCAAGGTGACTTTCTCATGAGCTAGAGTTTAGTTACTGTACAAGCATTGCATTTTGTTCACTGAAGGCCATAGTACAGTTATGCTATGGCTATCTTGAGTAATATTTTAACCTGAAAATAATTCCATTGAAATCAATGAGACAACTTGTGGAATAAGATGCTGTTTAACTGAGGAAGAGAATCACAATCTGGCCCTAGTATTTTTTATTTTTGAAAACACTGCTCTCCCAAGGCATCAGAGTAATGACAAATGCAACAAACACTGACAGGTTTTATTTCATAACAGCCCAAAAGAGTTAGGAAAACATTTAAATGTAAAAAGATTCTTCATAGCCTGAGAGCTCTCTGATATGTCCTAAGTCCAGCAAAGTGTTACTTTTGGTTAATACAAATATCTCAAAACCAAGTTTATTAGGAAAATGCTGAAAGACACTTCCCTATTCCAGCTCTGGTGGTTCTAACTATAATATAAGAAATCGCAGATTACTATGTGGTAATGCTCCTACTGACAGATATGAGTCTATGATTCATGGATTTAGAAATGAATAATTTGAATTTCATCATTATTTCTAGAAAGGTTTCCTGCACTACAGTGGTGATTATGGAACAAAAAATAAAGAGCATTCAAAATTATGAAAAGTAAACCTTGATAGCCATTAGCTGCTAATGGAAAAAGTTCAGCAGGGGCACTAAATCCATATTACATAGCCAACAATTTGTATTTTAACATATTGATAATGAATCCCAGCATAACCATTCAAACCACAGTCAGTATTCTTTCTTTTGCCCCTACAGGAAATTAAATCAATAGTGCAGACATTATCCATATGTATCTATACATATATGCATATATACTTCTGAAGTACAAAATAATACAATGTGCTTCACTTTCATTACAGATCTTTAACACAGTGCTGCACTTCTTCATTCTTCTAATCAATTTATTCTGCTAGTGTTTTTTAGCATTTTAAATCCCCGAGTTAAGTCAATAATGTTGATTACTTACCATAAGCACTGTAAACGCCATTCTAATACAGGTTATTTGCAATTTGACATCCTCATTTATATGCATTATTCCACTCGGAAAATTAAATGAAACCCTTGATTCAGAATTTGCAACACTTAGAAGTAATGATTCTGTTTACTGATTGACTGAAGTTGTGGTTTTTAAGCACTATTTAATAGAGGAAACAAAAAACAATATTCAAGTAAAATGGAAGCATCTAAGTTACTTTAGGAAGCATTCATGTTATATGAATGAACCAAGGTAGATGAATTGGAAATGAAGAAATGGAACATAGATTTACCAGTGAAAAAGTCTGCCAGGCTAACCGGATTGTTATCACCGTTAAGATCCTTGTCTGGGCTGTGGAAACACTATATATCTTATCTTGTCATGCATGCACAGATGCATCTCGAGCAGGTCCAGAGAGGTGATCCTCCCCCTTTATCCGGCACTGGTCAGGCCACAGCTGGAGTACTGCATCCAGTTCTGGGCGCCGCACTTCAAGAGGGATGTGGACAGCATTGAGAGGGTCCAGAGGAGGCCACTCGCATGATCAGGGGACTGCAGGGCAGGCCCTATGAGGAGAGACTACGGGACCTGAACCTGTTCAGCCTCCACAAGAGAAGGCTGAGGGGGGATCTTGTGGCCTGTTACAAACTGGTCAGGGGGGATCAGAAGGCATTGGGGGAGTCACTGTTCCCCCGAGCACAGCCAGGAGTGACCAGGAACAACGGTCACAAGCTAGCAGAGGGTAGGTTTAGGTTAGACATCAGAAGGCGCTATTTCACGGTCAGGGCGGCTAGGGTCTGGAACCAACTTGCAAGGGAGGTGGTGCAG